GATATAGATATAGATATAGATATATATATAGATAGATATATGGGCCCCGCGGGAATTACACGTGGTCTGATATATTTAGATATGATATATTTAGATCTAATAAATTTTGATATTTTTATGTAGACTTGCTACAGATAGATTTGATTATATTTTTAAATGAAACAGCCCACACAATGCAACAATAGGTAGATACATAAAAGACTGTTTTGTTATTAGAAAGAATACTGATTTGCTGTCACATGTACCCATTATAACTCCGCCTGATTGTAAAGCCTAAGCTAACTGTTGATTATTTATTCTCTAGTATATAAGTTGTTAAGTTTCATTCTCTATCTATCTACATGTATTTCACTATGCTGCTTATTGTTACCTATTTGCCATACAATGTACCCTGTACAATTGTCGTGCACTAAAGTTCTTATTCTATATTCTCTTGTTTCAGGTTTGTGCAGAGAAGCTGTACCTGCGCACCTGGCTACACCGGAGACCGGTGTGAGGAGGACGTGGACGCCTGCCTGCTGAACTTCTCCCCGTGCTTCCCCGGCGTGACGTGTGAGGACCTCCCCGCGCCAGCCGGGGCCGGCCCGGGCGGGTTCACCTGCGGGAACTGTCCGACTGGATACACAGGAGACGGATTTGACTGTCAAGGTGGTAAAGAACACAAAATGTGTTCATATCATTGCATTATCAAACGTGGGGCTATTCGACGGCGTAGCGGTAGCATGTTCGACTAAGTACCAAGAGGGTGAGAATCCTACTCATGTCGCCAATGTTGTGCCCTTGGGAAAGGCACTTTTCACGACTTTCCTCACTTCGCTCAGGTGTAAATGAGTACCTAGCTTTCGTTAGGGACGTCCGTCGGATAGGACGTTAAATGGAGGTCCTGTGTTTGGGGAGAGCCACACCCCACGCCAGTTAAAGAACCCACCACACTTATCAAAAAGAATAGGGGACCTTCCCGGTGTACAGTTTCGCCTCACTTCCACCATCAGGAAAGGAAATGTGGTGTCAAGTGCATTTTCCAAAGGGCACAGCGTCAAGACCTTTTGGTTCTAAATCTAACGCTTTAACGTTGTGTCACCGACGCCACACATAAACACCACTAATCTACATCCGTATTTCAAATGCCCTCTTACTACTAACATTCAAAACTTTATTAAATATTTAATACAACAATATAAAAAGTACTATGTTTAATCCAGTGGCCTAACAAGGATCAAAAGAAACGTTGAAACATCTTTGTACGTGTATTCTCACGTCTACAGGTAAATAGCTATAGGTACACAGATATATTTTCATGTTTTTTTTTATTAACATGCTTTATTTTGTAAGTTTGAAATCTTCTTCGTTACACTTTTCCTAGATCTTGACGAGTGCGCCACGTCAGATGGAGCCGTGTGCGCCCACAGCTGTGAGAACTACCCCGGTACCTTTATCTGCTCCTGTGATGACGGGTTCGAACTCGCAGAGGACAAAGTCTCGTGCCAAGGTTTGTGTTTAGAAAATTAAAAAAAAACAAGTTCACAGTAAATTACAGTATAGTAAAATAAATTTTGGCACGGGAAGAACTGAGCTGCTAATAAATATAAGGCAAAGTAACTTCACAAGAGAATATTATACATATGTATACTAAGATATGTGGCCAAGGGAAGAAAACCTGAAATGAAAAATTGTATGTATTTATTAACCCTGTCCCTAGCTAGTTAATCACACAGACAATACAGATTTGGTGCCTAAATACTATCTCAGCAGAGATAACATGAATGTTATATAGGTAGTTTCTTACATATAGGTTTTAACGGTCTGAAAGTTAGAGCTAAATTACTGTTATTTATACAGAAAAGATTCGAGAAATGTAGCTGACAGACTATCCTTGTAAACACCGGTAAACCAGACCAAGGACAGTAAAAGGATTTATTATTGTGACATTGTAAAACCCATTTGGTTAGAAGTTGAAAACAATTTGTATCAAATATGAAAACACATTACCGCTATCTGTACATAACATTATTCTCGGTTATAAACTTCACAAAATTGAAAAATTCCATTATATTAACGTATTGATATTTCTTGGAAAGTTGCAAGTACAAGTATGGTATATGCATGGAAACATTGTTATATTGTTTGAAAACGAAAGTTTCTTAAAAGGTTAACATTATTTTCCATAATCATGTAAATATGTATCATTTGAATGCATACTCCATTTGTCAATAAAGGATGTATTGTGTTTAAAAAAAGCTCACTGCAGAAAAAGAGGGACAGTTATAGAAGATATCATAAACACGTTTTCATCTTCCACTTGCAGACATACACGAGTGTGCCATGCAGCTGAACAACTGCAGTCAGCAGTGTGAGAACACAGAAGGGTCCTTCAACTGCCTCTGTCAGGACGGGTTCACACTGGCTTCTGACGGGCAAGACTGTGAGCGTGAGTGCTCCTTCAAGTTCACAATCAATTCTATCAGTTTTAAACAGATACATTGTGAACGCTGTGTCATAAATACGACCAACAGTTTCTATCTTAGACTGTACTAGTAATGCAAATCGTAACGTCGAATGGCGGTTATAGCGGATATACAGAAACGGATCCTGCATAATGGTTTGTACTAGCACATTACTCTATATTACCTACATGTACTGTCAAAGAGAATGCGAGTTTTGACCACAGGCATTGTTTATGAAGCAAGTAAAACGCTTTTTCTACCACAGGAAAATGAAACTAAGGTATGCCTATAATCCCAATGCTTACAAACATACACAGGAGATGATTACTGCATCACGTACCAAATATAGCTTTGGGACTATATTTAAGTAACAAAAAGCGTCACTATTGCCTAGATCATAATTCACTGTTACTGTTTGCAGCTGACAATCCGTGCAGTGCAGAAAATGACCCGGGATGTGACTCCGGCTGGTGTATCACTAACGACCTCGGTACGGCAGAGTGCGTCTGTAGGGCGGGGTATGTGCTGTCATCTGACAACAGGACATGTGAAGGTATGTAGGAGGTACTCATCGTTTACGGACCTTCTATCTGCTGGCGTCGAATGTGCCAAAGACAGTACTGGGAATGTTTTTAATGCATCTGAAGAGCTCGAGGCAAATTTAACTGCTCATAATCTGTCCTTTACGGGCAAAGAAGTATCGAAGACGAGTAGTTATGAGTGCGTGCGTATTTTGATATACTTGTATATACTATACATTTCATATACGTGTATATTTATGGCTTCACCACACCACGAAGTGGTGTGGTGAACCCATATTGCTTTTTCTGATGTTTCTTCTCCTTCTCCTTCTCCTCCTTCTTCTTCTCCTGCCATTTTTTAAATGGATTCAGCTTCTTCATTTTGGGGCCTAAGGTCCTGAAATTTGGTATGGAGGTACAGTGGGCAAATACCCCCAGGCGTTTTTTAAATTTTTGTGATACAGGCTTTTAGAATGGTTTTATTTGAGCTTTTTGGCTGTGTTATAGCAAATGTATTACTGTGATGTGTACCACGTTTGGGCATGAGTCATCACAATGGAATGCAGGGCATCAACCAATAGGCATGCAGCTTTCCTCTATTCTTCTTGCTGATTGGCTGTTGGTAATTAACTTGATTAACACTTGCACACAGCATTTTCATACTGACAGTATGTCTGTATTCAAGTGTTTTGGTAGGTATTTCAAGCTTTCCTGCTCCAGCATTGGAATGCGGGGCATGAACGTTTTTTTTTCATTTTGAAAATCAACAGTTTGCATTATGCAATTAAAAATCCTAACCAATAATGTAGGGAATAGCTATCCAACTGTTGTTTTAGTTGTATGTTACTTCATATTATAGTTATATCAATGTAAATCATTGTTTTCCCTTGTGTTTCTCATTCTTTCCCTACCATGTCGTAAAATGTGGTGAAGCCATCGCTGTATTTGCTCCTAAGCAAATATTGGCTTTTCTAGTTGTACTATAGATTGGCAACCAAGTGACTATACATGTATTGATTTGTTCAGCTGTATAGTTAGAAATACTTTAAAAGTACTTGAACAAGTTGTCAGATAAAACAATTAAGCTGGTGTTTTACGCCGAAGGGCGGTTATACCGATAAGGATACAATTATTATGAAAAGAAAAGGCGTAAATGTCGACGTTGCAAAATTAGATATCCTGCCTATCTGCCTATGTGCACAGGCCAGGTACTGGCCCCTTGTTCCCCTCCGTCAGGTTCCTCCAGCCAGCTCTATCAAGGGCAATAGTCTCTGCTACACTTAGGGTAATCCCTGTGTCACTCTGTATCTGGTCTTTCCACCTCTTGGGTGGTCTTCCCCGGGGTCTAGATATGATACTGTGAAGATATATCCATTTGATAATATGAAGATATATCCAGTATAATTTAATGCTGGCTCGTCCGCAGACTATGACGAGTGTTCCGCCGGTGGTCACCACTGTTCTCAGCTGTGCAACAACACCGCTGGGGGGTACAGCTGCTACTGTGGAGAGGGGTACTACACTGATGAAGACAAGGGCCATCTGTGTTTGGGTAGGGACTCCAACATAGATTGAAGGCAAAGATGATTCAACCCCCTAACACTGGCATTTTACAATATAATGTCTCGGACCTAATGCATTAACAAATGGACTCTCCCAGAATAATTCTTTATGTAACAGACATACAGCCACTGATGAATGCTTTTACAAAAGTTCTGACGATCCCTATGATGCAATTGCAGACGTTTGGCAGATACATTTGCATGAAAGAGACGGCGTACAAATGCATTCGCTTTATGTATCAACCACATTCAAATTAAGTCTTTTCATGTTCATGTATGTAGGTATTTTCATGTTCATGTATGCTTCCCAACATTGGCTAAAAAATCAACAATATTACGCGATATGTATTTTTTGTACATGTACGGCTGCCAACAGACATTGATGAGTGCTATGAGGGGGCAGACAACTGTACAGACCTGGAGACGTGTGAGAACGATCCCGGCTCCTTCCACTGTACCTGTACAGAGGACGCTGTACTAGTGGGAGACACATGCGTGCTTGGTAAGTTTTCTCTGATTCAACTTATTAAGGAGTTGAGCCAGGATGTCTTTATGTTGTTTTCTCTGTATCCATTACTATAGTTTCTGTACCAGTACTACTGGAAGACTGCCTTA